TTCCACATGCACTGGCCAAAACCTGGAAACAATTCGATATGATCAGGTTTGTGAAAGACTTAATGAAGGAACCACACAGAGTTAATACCTTAAAAAGACACTTTAGGGAACAGGTTTCAGGGCACAGTGTAGAGAAGGAATGCTGACATAGTCTTGTTCCACCCTCAAGAAGTAAAGAGCAAGCTAGAAAGAATGAGAGAGAAAAACAGAGGCTAATATATCTAGCCAGGCTGAGTGAAGACTAAAATTCTCCAACCTTGCTTCCATGGTTGTATGGATACTTCTTTCTCTAGGATGTTCATTCTCCCTTTTAATCTCACCAACTATCCTGTTTTATCAAGGTCTCTTTCCAAATCTTCCAATATGATCACCACCTCCTCTCTGTTCAACATCCAGGCCAGTGGCTTCTCTGGCAGGATAGTCAGGAACTTCTCTAGCACCAGCAGCTCTAGGATCTGCAATTTGATGTGGGACTCTAGTCTCAACCTCTGATGGCGAAGTTCCTGGAGTTGGCTCAAAGCTGTAGTGTGTCTAGGTGCCTCCTGGTCACAGAAATATTTAAAATTCTGATGAACTACTTCCTGGTTGTTGGGGTTCTTCCATGCAGAGTAGCCTATATTCTTGGCCTCAAGCGTAGTCTTCCTCTTCTACCCTCAGGTCCCTTTTCTGTTTCCTTTGAAATATAATAGCTAAGGCTGCAGCCATTATGGGCTGTTAACAGTTCAGGTAATGTCTTATTATACAGGTTAGGGTATATGGCAGTCTCTGCTTTAAGGAGACTGCCCTTGGGCATGTTTCTTTTGGATCACTCCTATGGCAAAATAAATCATTATTAATTTAGAGAAATGAAAAGTTTGTTAAGAACTTTTTTTTTTAGGTTAAAGAAGACTAGTCATCTTGAAACTCATTGAATGAACCACGAATTCAAAAGGAAAACTGACAATTCTGGTGAATTTTATCATATGTGCCAGAAAGCACAAACTAGGTAAGACAGATATAAAATTTATAATATGGTGTGAAAATTGCAGATACCAGAATGAAATCACTTTTGTTGGACCCAGACAAAATATGGATGGGAAGGCCAGAGGAGAGGAGGCTCATGCTTACACTTCTGAGATAAGAATGGTCTGAGATAAGAATGGTCTGAGATAAGAATGGTTTATAGCAGCACAATTCACAATTGCAAAGATGTAGAAACAACCCAAGTGTCCATCAATACATGAGTGGATTAATAAAATGTAGTATATGTATACCATGGAGTACTATTCAGCTTTAAGAAACAATGGTGATATAGCACCTCTTGTATACTCCTGGATAGAGCTGGAACGCATTCTACTAAGT